GCAAGGATAAGCCATAGCTAACAGCTCTACTTCCAGAAGAAGTCAGAAACCAGGAAAAATGCTTAGTCAATAAATTACAAAAGAAAATAACTTGGGGAAGGTTGATGTATTATGACTTGGTAAATAACTGTCTTGTTCACTGTAGCTTAGCATAGTGCCTGGTGCCCAATAAGCTCTCAACATTTATTTATTTTTATTTTTTTATCATGCTCTAGGTGAAAGTTTACTGCTCAAGTTAATTTCTTATTCAAAAATTTATACACATATTGTTATGTGACACTAGTCGCAATCCCTATAATGTGACTGCACACTCCCCTTTTCCCACCCGAGTTTCCTGTGTCCATCCAACCAGCTCCCGTCCCTTCCTGCCTTCTCATCCTGCCTCCAAACAGGAGCTGCCCATTTGATCTCGTGTATCTGCTTGAACTAAGAAGCACACTCTTCACGAGAGTCATTTTGTGTCCCATAGTCCAGTCTAATCTTTGTCTGAAGAATGGGTTTTGGGAATGGTTTTAGTTCTGGGTTAACAGAGTGTCCAGGGGCCATGGCTTCGAGGGTTCCTCCGGTCTCAGTCTAGACCATTAAGTCTGGTCTTTTTACTAGAATTTGAGTTCTGCTCCACACTTTTCTCCTGCTCCATCAGAGACTCTCTGTTGTGTTCCCTGTCAGGGCGGTCACTGGTGGTAGCCGGGCACTGGCTTGTTCTTCTGGTCTCAGGCTGATGGAGTCTCTGGTTTATGTAGCCCTTTTGTCTCTTGGGCTAATATTTTCCTTTGCTGTTCTTCATTCTCCTTTGCTCCAAGTGGATTGGGACCAATTGATGCATCTTAGATGGCCACTTGCCAGCTTTTAAGACCCTAGATACTACTCACAAAGTGAGATGCAGACTATTTTCTTAATAAACTTTGTTATGCCAGTTGACCTAGATGTTCCCCAAAACCATGGTCCCCAGACCCCAGCCATTACTACTCTGTCCCTTGAAGTGTTTGGTTGTGTTCAGGAAACTTCTTAGCTTTTGGTTTAGTCCAGTTGAGCTGACTTCCCCTGTATTGTGTGTTGTCCTTCCCTTCACCTAAAATGATTCTTGTCTACTATCTAGTTAGTGAATTCCCCTCTTCCTCCCTCCCTACCCTCGTAACCATCAAAGAATGTTTTATTCTGTGTTTAAACCTTTTCTTGAGTTCTTATAATAGTGGTCTCATACAATATTCGTCCTTTTGTGATTAATTTCACTAGCATAACGTCTTCCAGATTATTTCATGTTGTGAGATGTTTTGCAGATTCATCATTGTTCTTTATCATTTTGTAGTATTCCATTTTGTGTATGTACCATAATTTGTTTATCCATTCATCTGTTGATGGACACCTAGGTTGTTTCCATCTTTTTGCTGTTGCTGCAATGAACATGGGTGTGCATACGTCTATTCGTGTGACTGCTCTTATTTCTCTAGGATATATTCCAGGGAGTGGGATTGCTGTATCGTATGGTACTTTTATTTCTAGCTTTTTAAGGAAGCATCAGTTTGATTTCCAAAGTGGTTGTACCATTTTACATTCCCACCAGCAGTCATAAGTGTTCCAGTCTCTCCACAACCTCTCCAACATTTATTATTTTGTGTTTTTTGGAATAGTGCTAGCCTTGTTGGGGTGAGATGGTATCTCGTAGTAGTTTTGATTTGTATTTCTCTAATGGCTAATGATCATGAGCATTTCTTCATGTATCTGTTAGCTGTCCTTTTTTAAATGATTTAAATAGATATTTGAATGAGTAGAAAATAGCTTCAAATTATGTTGTAAGAGATGTTCTTGTAGTAGATCAGTCTTTATAAAATGTGAGTTTTTGATGTTCCAGAGGAAAAGGAAGTTCTCTTTTTCTCACCTCATGGGCATCGGGGAGGAGAGATGTGATATGGATTCCCCTGAGTGGGTGTGTAGGAATTCAATCTGCTAAAAATGGCCTAAAATAAGAAGATGTAAGTCGCTATATAAATGTCACATATCTATGATAAAATTTGCATTATGTAAAGGCCATTGTGAAAAGCACTGGGGATATGAAATAATATAATCTAATAAACCTTTCAAAGGCAGTAACTATGCCTTTTGGGGAAGACAATCTATTTATGTATAGATATAGACGTATGGGGATATAAATAGCTAGCTATGTATTACCAACTGCCAAATAAAGAAATACCATATTTTCAAAAACTCAGTTTTTCAATGGATGAAATGGAAGTTCACAGACACAATAGTTTACAGACACAGTAGTTCTTATTTTTAACTGGAATAAAGTCACGATAACATTTTTCAGGTTTATTCTGTTTCCTTTCTCATAAAAGGCAGGTTTTCTGGTTCCCTGGGTCTGTGCCTTCATTTTGTTTGATCCATTCTTGAACATGGCAGCATTTTATTCATACTCTGGGAGACATTTTACAGGCTCTGTTTATGTAGCTGGCTGTGATAGGTAGAAGGTAGGACACTTCCATGGAAAATTGTTTGACTCGAGACCCTGATATTGTCTGAAGTTCATCCACACAGGGCTACCGTTCTCTGGTGTAAGCCTTTTCATGCAGTTACTAGGTAATTTCCATGTCCTGAGACAAACTAGGTATATAAAAAAAAAAAGGTACATTGACACAGTGGTTTGGAAAATTCTTTTGTCATTTTAAACTCAGTCATTTCATAAAGGAGTACCTAATTAAAAATATCTTTAGATAGAGAAAGATTTCTGTAATGTTTTTCAAGAAAACATTTCTGGGTTCAAAAATTTGCTATGAGGAAGTTCTTCCCTTTGTCCACCCATATCTCTTCTCTTCATCTAAGCTGATTTTCCCTTTTAACTTCGTTTTAGCTAGAAAAGAACTGGCATACATGACATTTGTTTTATTGAAAGAGAAACATTACTTTTTTGGCTAAAAATTATTTCTCTGATATTTTAGGCTTTTTGCTAAGTTTTTCTAACCACTTCAATCTTGGTTAATGTCTTCTTTCAAATGTTTTAATTTTTATCAAAGCCCATCTCTTAGTATCATCCAACTTTTCCAGTCTTTCTTGAGTTGCCCCATTGAAAAATGGATACTCTATTCTTGGGAAGACAAGAATAGCCTCTTGAAAGGTAGAATGAGATTGCTTTTCTGCTACTAATTGTCCATCTAAGCATTCAATACACTGTCTTGGACAAAGTCATTTGTAGCTAACATGTTTAATAAATCATTTACTCCGAATTCTTCAGTACTTATCTGTAGTTCTACATCCTCTTGAATTCTGTCATCTTGGGGTTCTACAAATTCCAGATAAACTTCATGTTTCATTAACTTAGAGAAAAATCTCCTGAGGAGGTCGTGGGGGCTGTGTCCCTTGGGTTGATGGAGAGAACGAAACTCTGGATTTGGAATCAGAAGACCTCAACTTGAACCCTAATCCACCACTTAATAGCTGTGTGATATTAGAAAAGTACTATATTTTTATGAACTCATTTGTCCATTTTTTCTATAGTTTATTGTGTTTTTGGTAAAATTCTACACAGCAAAATAGGTTCCTTTTTAATAAATTTCTATATATATTGTTCAGTGACATTGCTTACATTATTCACAATTTGTCAACATTCTCATTATTTCCATTCTGGTTGTTCCATTTCCATTAATCTAGTTTCCCTGACTCTCCTGACTGTCTTATCTTTGCTTTAGGGTAATTGTTGACCATTAGGTCTCACATAAATGATTTTCTTAAAGGAGCACAGTACTCATGGGTGATATTATTTATTTCATGAGCCAATCTGTTATTTAGTTGAAAGGTGGCCTCTGGGAGTGGTTTCAGTTCAAAGTTTAAAGGGTATCTCAGGGCGATAGTCTCGGAGGCTCCTCTAGTCTCAACTGGTCCAGTAAGTCTGGCCTTTTTTAAGAATTTGAGTTTTGGTCTACATTTTTCTCCCATTCTCTCCAGGACCGTCTGTTGTGTCCCAGGTCAGAACGGTTGGTAGTGGTAGCTGGGAACCATCTAGCTCTTCTGGTCTCAGGGTAGATGAGGCAGTCGTTCTTGTAGACTGTTGGTCCTATAGACTTCCTTTGTGCGTTTTTAAACTGGAGGAAAACGATCATATCTTTCTCTGTATGTGGCAAGCATCAAATAAAATAATGAGTGTGAAATCATTTTTAAACTATGATACATTGTATATGTATTAGTCACCATTCACCATTTTCATCCAGTATTGCTATGGCCCATTGAAACAGGGCTTCGGAGAAGTATTGTGATACTGAAGCAGAGGCTCATGGTAGCATCCCTAACCAGCAGTGCATGGCCCCGTAGTGAAAAATACCCTGGTATAAAAGCATTTGGCCATTCTTCTCTCATTTTGGTTGGCTTTGTTTTTTTTCCCTAAAAGTTCTTTCAGCTCTAAGAGTGTGAGTAATGAATATCATCTCATTTCCTTGGTCCTCTCCTTGGCTCAGAGGTAGAATTCCTGCCTTCCCTGCAGGAGACCCTGGTTTGATTCCTGGCCAGTGCACCTCAAATTCAGCCATCACTAGTCTGTCAGCGGAGACTTGTTTGTTTCTATGATGCTGAACAGGCTTCAGCAGAGCTTCCAGACTACAACGAATTAGGAAGAAAGGCCTGGAGATTTACTTCTGAAAGCCCTATGGATCTTAAGAATTCAATTCCGTTGTACATGGGGTTGTCATGAGTCTGGAGCAGACTCGATAGCAGCTAACAACGACAGCAACAACAGCTTGGCTCATTGACGCCATTTTGAATCCTGTTTTCTTCTGTACTAGGAATTTTCCGTCCATGGTTGGGATCATCTGCAAATCTGCAAGGCTCATGCCCTTGCATCACCTAAGATGATGCTGGAAGTTTAAAGTATCTTACCCTGACTGAGGAGTCCCCACTGTATAAAACGGATTCTTACTTGTTGCCTTGCCATCAAGTGAAATGTTTTCGATTTCATTTTCTCTGGGCCTGAAAGCTATGTGCCAGGTCTAAAAACAGCAAGCTATTTCAGATCTGAAAGTGTGTGAAAGACAATTCTGTCTTCAAGTATTCACACTTTCACACTGCTTTTATTCTTTGCCTTGCTTTCTTCTGTTCTCTGGGTTTGCTTCCCATGTACTTTGATACGTCTGCAATAAACCATGATTCAGCTTTTGGAAGTTCAGCGTAGATTATCCTATGTAAGTTTCCTGTATCTTTCTTTAGTATCTTTCTCTCTGATCTCTCTAGGTGTGGACACAAATACATGGGTTGAGAGCCCCCCCGCTCCCCCCCCCCGCCCCTTCAGTCTCTGGCACTTTCCTGGAGATACTCTGACTCCATGTTTGAATTTCAACCTGCTTGCCAGAGTTTATACGCCCGTGTTGTCAGTACAGTTTGATGTACTCGGTAACAGGACTCTTAGGAAACGAAACTCAATCCTGCATTATGCTGTTTCCACATAGCTGTTCAGTGCCTCGCATGCAGCTGAGTCCTGAGGGAGCCACGGGATTTTGAGAAGTTCGCAAAGATGACCTGGGGAAGTTCAAACCATTTTAATCATGTGCTAATCTAATCTGAAGCTCATAAGATTTCGTATTACAATTACAAGGACTGTGGGTCTGGAAAAATTCCACCCCTTATGAAAATATCTCATAAATCCAGACACAACTCCCACATGACACCTCACATTATATTAAAAAAAGACGTGTGTCAGAAAAGAGGTATACGGGGACACCTGAATGCCAATATCCTAGTTAATTGCAAAGGCTTATCCATATCATTTCAGAATTTCAAATATATATAGGCACGGATTACGGTGCTTGTCAATGTGGCACAGATCTACTGAGGGAGGAACAAACATTGTGCTTTAGAAGTTGATATATAATTTAAATGCTTTGAGGGCATACAGTATGAAGTATAACCAGAGAGAGTCCTTGGAGATTGCACAATTACATTCTGCAATGCTTCCATATTGCGGAACACAGGTTGTTAATACTTTCTCTGAACAAATTCCCAGTGCAGTCAAAGCTCCTTTCTGGTTAAATGCCCTGTTTCTTCTGGGTAAATCCTTTCCCCTCTTTCCAGCTGAGACTATGGAAGCCTTTTGCATTAGGCTCTTTTCTTACGAACTGGTTCATATTAGAAACAAAAATAAATTGGATGGTCTTTACCTGTACATTACACTTTGACTCTGGAAAAATAATCCTTGTGGTTTGCTTACTTTCCCACAATAGCAGTGAGCCACAACACTGATACGGCAGTTCTTGAATACTCAGCGATGCACCCAAGGGAGCAGTGCGCACCAAGATGGAGTGTAGCAAATACGCTGATCCGGGGGTTAATCTCTGTTTGGCACTCACGATGTTTATTATTCCTGCAGGCGAAGGTCAGATTCCAGGACCTCCCATCAATGTGCATGCTTCAGAAATCAGTAAAACATATATCGTCCTCAGCTGGGATCCACCTGCTCCCCATGGCAAGGAGCCCTTGATGTATTTCATCGAGAAGGTACTGTGTAGTCACATTTTCTGAAAAAGCAGGTCTCTGCATGATCTTAATGTAGCTTATGTAATGTGTTTTAAAGAAGAGAAGCTGTCAAATCAGTCACTGCAGGCACTTCATCATTATTATTTAGTAGAAAGCTAGAGGTGGTGGGCTGAACTGGTGAAAAGGATTCTAGAATGGGAATTGGCATTAGGAAACTGGTGTCCTTTGATACCACTCATGTGCCACTATCAAATGAAAGAATTGAACCTGATGGATCTAAACGTTTTCTTCCTGCTAAAACGTTATAGACTCTTCAGTTCTGAGGTTTTCATGAGAAGTTAGGGGGAGGAAGAGTGTGCCATTGCTTGCCGTGTTTGTTCATAAGCTGTGTGGCCACTTGGTGGTGATCTTGTGGAGGAAATTCATCTTTAGGTGAGGATGGGTTAGACTTAGAATCACCGGATCATTGACTTGAAGACTCTTCTGACCTGGTAACATATAAAGAAATGCATTGTACATTGCAGTACATTGTGCTGTACACACACACACGCACACACGAGGATATATGTATTTAACCAAAGAAAATTTCAAAAACTATATCCTTACCATGTTATACATTCTCTCTTGCTTTAATCCAGCCTGTCCAATTTCATTAAAAATGCTTCTTGGGACCCACTAATTTGATTTCATGACCCACTATTGGATTGTGGGCCATGGTTTGAAAAACTTTAAAGTTGTAGCAATGCTGTAACTATGGTTTTGTGTTACTAAATTACAGTATAGTGTGTAATACAATATATACTTATATATGACATACATATTATATGTAATATATAATACATCATGTACAATACAATTATATAATATAGTACAATTAATTGAAGCATAGCAGAATGTAAATGGGAATGAACAAAAATATTCCAGACTCCAAAATGTATAATGGCTCTCTGTCTTTCACCACTTAAATGGAATACTTAATTGTCTATGGGTCTTTGGAAGTATTGCAAGGTAAAGTGTTAAGTTACTAATTTTGGCTGATAAAATATAGGTATTTATGTTATGAGAAGTCCAAATGGTCAGTCCATACGTGGTGTGCCTGAAGGTGAAAGGCTCTTTCTCAGTCCTCTCTTCTGAGGTATCTCCCTATTCCCCTACCACCGATGCCAGAAATATCAAGTATTATTGAAAGTAGAAGAGTTCTACCTCATCAAGTTAGCATGTTTGCAAGGATTTATTGACTGAACTACTTGCTGTCAGCAGTGGGTAAGCAGCTTCTGTGGGCTGGGTCACAGAAGACATGCATTTTGATGAGGAGGAGTAAGCGTTCAGTACAGCTTGAGGTCAGTGATTGTGCAAGAGGACCCTGGGAAACGGGGAGTAGCGTGTGGTCCCAGCCTGGGACTGGAGCTTACCTACCAAAAAAAAAGAAAAGAGAAAAAAACATTGCCATGGAGTCGATTCTGACTCATAGTGACCCTAAAGGACAGAGTAGAACTGTCCCATAGGGTTTTCAAGGAGCGGCTGGGGGATTCGAACTGCTGACCTTCTGGTTAGCAGCCATAGCTCTTAACCACTGCACCACCAAGGTTTCCCTGAGCTTAGCTACACACAAGAACAGTTGTCATTGAGTGAATCCCAACTCATGGCGACCCCATGTGTGTCACAGTAAAACTGTGCTCCATAAAATCCATGGGTGATGCAAATAGTTAACGTGCTCCGCTGCTAACCGGAAAGTTGGAGGTTTGAGTCCACCCAAGGGTGCTTCAGAAGAAAGGCCTGGTGATCTACTTCTGAAGCTTCAGCCATTGAAAACCCTATGGAGCACATTAGCTACACAGAAATGGAGCAGATCGATACAGACAGATGGGGGGGCAAACTTCATTTACCTTTGTCACAATTAACTTATGGTGGACAGTATATCCTCAATGTAGATAAGATGTCTCTTGGCTTACTTCATTCCTATCAAGGCCTAGAAAGAACCTCAGGAATGTATATACAGGTAATCGCTGACTTAGGATGCAGTTCTGTTCCGATGACCTGGTCCTAAGTCAGTTCTGACGTAAGTCGAATACTTCATTTTTTTTTTTTTTTTTAGTTTTCAGTATTCTTGCCTTTTATTGTCAGTATCTTTATAAATCCGATCTTTGTCTTTGGGGGTTGGAAACTTTACATATAAACTTACAGATATATTTTAATACATACATGCATACATACCAAAAAAATGGACAACAGCGTTTTGTCGGTTGTGGTGATAACTTCGCTTGTGGAAGGTTCTGGATCATCTGGATTATCCCTGGGAATGGGGATGGCATTTCTAGTCAGAAAATTAGCAAGAGTTGTCGGTATGTTCCTTTTTATGCACTGCAGCATTGTATGTAGTACATACAATAAGATGTACCAAAAAAAGACGTCCTAAGTGTGATTCGTTGTAACTCACGTACGTTGTAGGTCGGGAACTACCTGTATGATTTATCTTGCTCGTCTTTATTTCTATGTTTTCAGGTGATGTTAAGATCATGCATCAAATGATGTTAAGATATGAACTGCAGCTACGTAATTAATAAACTTGATTCTAGTCATTCTATTACATCACACTTTAGCATATAGTTTTAAGCATGGATTTTGCTATATGAGCTGTGTGTTTATAATTACAAATTAAATGATAGCCAAATGCTCTTTTATTCTCTGTAAACTCATTTATGGCACGTTGGCTGATTCTTTGTATGCCAAAGCTTATGAGTTCTGGAGTCTAAAGGCTGATTATTTCCACTTGGTATTTTGCTTGTAATTAAGGCAGCGATGCCTTGTTCATATTCACATGATCCAAAAGTACGTACGGACCGAGTTTCCTCCACTGAAGATACTGAAATCCACACGCTTCCCTCTAGTTCCTGTTTACAGGGTGTACACCTGATGACTTAACTTGGCTCTAAACTTCTCTGGCTTTTTGAAGCCAAAGCCTTGCATTTTTTTTTCCTTCTCCCTTCCTGTCTTCCTTTAATGTGATAACATGATTAATAATATTTCACTGTTGGGCTACTAACTGAAAGGTTGGTGGTTCCAACCTACCCAGAGGAACCTCGGAAGAAATGCCTGGCGAACTGCTTCAGTTAAGATTACAGCCAAGAAAACCCCAATGGAGAATTCTACTCTGTAACACGTATGGTTGCCATGAGTCAGAATCGACTTGAGGGCAAGGGTTTAGTTTGGTTTTTCTCTGGCGGAGCCTGTCTCACTGCAGAAGAGCCTTTCAGGTTATTCTGTGTTGCCCCTATGCTCTCTTCCTGCCATCTCCCCAGATGTCCACCATGTGTCTGAGACCCCACAGGCCAGTCACGAGCAGGAGGGCAGGCGTGTAAGGAACCAACGGGGGAGCTTCCTCCAATGAGCACCTGGTTTCAGTTCCAAGACAGTGATTTTTCACTTTTGCTAAAACGAGAGAAACATTTCCTTTCAACGTGAATCTAGTTCTTAGAAGCCCGTGTTGTTATTTAAAATGTTTTAGAAGTTCTTTTTAGCAGTCTTTTGGCAGGGTCAATGTGCATCCAAATTTTACTTTTTCAGAAACACTTTCAAAAATGTTTTTTATCTTTACAGGAAAAAATATGAAATTCAAAGTTTTTAAAGTAATTGTTGATGATAAAATTTAAACAGGCAGTGTAAAAAAGTTGGAAAATACAGAGAAGTTATACAGAATGAAATTAAAAATCAGCAGTAATTACATCATATAAAATCACCATTATTAATGTGTGGTATATATATATACAACCTTTTTCTTCTATAGAGTTTTTAATGTATTTGATATTATATTAGATACACAATTTGCATCCTGCAGTACATTTAATAAAATAGACAAAACAAAACAATTCTTACCAAATTAAAGATCTTTATACAATAATTTAGAAGGCTGTATGTTATTTTAATATATGAATGTATATTTTTGTATCTTACCCTATTGCTAGGTATTTAGATTGCTGTCACTTTGTTATAAATAGCTGCTATATAGTGCAAAATTTAAATGAAATAAAAATATGTTAGTTATGATGGAATTTTATAAATATATCTAAATTATCTTTAATGATTTGTGGTTTATTCCATTTTGCTAAAACTATAACCTGTGTATTGATTCCCTTAAATTTTCACTTTAATGTAAACATTTTTACTGGTGAACATTTTAACTTTGGGTGATTATATCCCTGCCAAACTGGCTTGGTTCTTTATAAATTTTTAAAAACATTTGTTGATTTCCCAGTGTGTGCAGGACACCACAAAATGAAAACAAAACCAAACTATTTGTCCTGAAGTCCATACCAACTCACGGCGACCCCATGTGCACCAGAGTAAAACTGTGCTCCATACGGTTTTCAATGGCTACGATCTTTTGTAAGTAGATCACTAGGGCTTTCTTCCAAGTGCATTTAGGTGGATCCAAACTGCCAACCTTTTTGTTAGTGGCCAAGTGCTTAACCAATTGTACCACTCAAGGACACAGTTGACATAACGAAAGTGTAACTTGATTAGCTAAAATGGAATATTTCCTTCAATGCACTTTTAGAGAACACTAAATTTAAAAAAAATGTAAATCCTATTCCTCTTTGTAGTCCATAGTTGGGAGTGGGAACTGGCAACGGGTAAATGCGCAGATGGCCGTGAGATCTCCTCGGTATGCAGTGTTTGATCTCGCTGAAGGGAAGTCTTACGTGTTTCGAGTTTTGTCAGCAAATAAGCATGGCCTGAGTGACCCATCAGAAGTAACTCCTCCCATTCAAGCACAGGACACAATTGGTAAGCTATCTCACCGAGTAACTAAAATTTGGGGGCATTGGTGGTTCAGTGGTAGAGTTCTTGCCTACTCTGCAGGAGACCTGGGTTGTATCATCAGCCAACATGCCTCATGTCGAGCCATCATTGTCTGTCAGTGGCGGCTTGCATTTTGCCATGATGGTGAACTGGTTTCAGAGGAGCTTTCAGATTAAGATGTCCTTGATCATGAAGATGGCACAGGATCAGGCAGTGGGCAATGTTTCATTCCTTGTACATGGCATCGTGAATGGGATTGCCATGAGTTGAGGGTGTGAGGGACAAATTGACAACTTACTCATTGCCACTGAGTCGATTGTGACTCATAGCGACCCTATAGGACAGAGCAGAACTGTCCCATAAATTTTCCAAGGCCGTAATCTTTATGGGAGCAGACTGCCATATTTTCCTCCTGCAAATTATCCAAAAATAATTCTTACCCAGTTAGTCCAAACATTTATGTATCAGCATATCTTCTTTAACCTGGTGGAGATACAGGAGATTTTATGATTGTAGTAATTTTCTGTGTGTGTGTCAGTATTTAGCAGAGAATTGGAAAGAGAGGAAATGAGAGTCTAGCAATGTCTATCTTCCCCCTCTGGTTGTTAGACCATTGCTTGTTTCCCTACTCCAAATTTCATTCAAAGCCATATACCTGGTTTACCACTTCCTGTGGAATAATGGGCTTGAAGATCTCTGGTGTGTCTTCCAAAACTCTGATACAAAGAACTGCATAAAAATCACAAGTTTATTTAGCTAGTGACTTAATATGCTATGATATATAATAGATCGTTCACTCTTTCTAGCATATATTACTTATTAAGTCTAAGAAATCATTTTGTCTTCTCTGCAAAGTTGTTCCTTCTGCTCCGGGTCGGGTACTTGCCTCAAGAAATACTAAGACATCGGTTGTGGTACAATGGGACAGGCCAAAACGTGAAGAGGGCCTGTTGGGTTACTACGTGGACTGCTGCATTGCAGGAACCAACAACTGGGAGCCGTGCAATCACAAGCCCATTGATTACAACAGGTAAAGTACAGTTCTGGTGTGAACGCCTCCCGCCTTCCTAAGTCCTAGAAATCACTGTATTGACATAAACGATGACTCTTCTTTAACAAGAAGTAGAACCAAACGTGAACCACGTAGTCCTCACCATAGTATGTACTATGGTAGAAAAACGTCAGTACCATTTCTGTCTGTATTACAGAATGAGTTTGCTTTCTTATTCACAGGTCAGGGAATACATAATTTCAAAGCTTAAATTTGACTTGTTTTGATGAGCTAGTTATTAAACACTTGGCTGAAAAGATTTGGCTATTTACGAAAAGTTCCAGAACCTTGGTTTTCCTGATGTAATTGGCATTTAAGACTTGTCTTCGAATAAGAGAGTTAAGTAGCAACTATGGTGTGAAAGTAGAAGTTTTATTTTTCCTTACTGATTTTTCAAACTTTTAAAATTGCTTTGTTGATATAACTGACAGTCCCATTCTCTAGCCCTCCAGTTGAGACAGAACCCGTGAGGCTACGTTTCTCCCTTGGAAGGGCAGTGCAGGAAAGATGCTGGCTGCCTTTGCAGGGGAAAGCCAGCAGCTCTACTTTTGGAATTGATTCACTCCTGTTTCATGCTGAGTGTGCAGCGACTGTCTGAGTTCATTAGGCTTTCTCCATGATACGCTTCTTAGAAAAATATAGGCAGCTGTCAGAAGTGGGTTATCTATTTGTTGCTCAGCCATTTTTCCTCTTAACATTTTTTTTTTTTTTAATAAATTGGAAAAAAGCTGTGGCTGGAAAAGCAGATGTGTTTGAGGGGGATACCAGATAGATGTTATTCTCCAGTCCGTAACCAGCAAATAAATATATATCAGAATAAAAAAAATTAAAGTATTACTCTATTGCAGAAATTTTGTAAATGGTTAATAAGTATTTGTTAAATGAATAAGTAATAATTGCTTACATTGACTGAATACTTACTATATGCAAGCAACCCTGCTAAACACCTAGAGTTTCGCATTTACCACTTACAGCAATGCTGGGGGATAGGTGTTATTTTCTCCATTTTACAGATGGCAGAACAGAGTCTTACAGAGGTTAAAGAACTTGACTACGGACACAAAATTCGTGTCAAAGCCAGTATTAAAGTCCTGTCTATCTGACTTCAAAGTCTCAGCCTTTGGCTACTATAACTACTTCAATTTTTAAAAACATAGTCAGTGTTCTTTTAGGTAGAACAGTTGAATACTATTTTATAATAGACCTTTGATTCAATTAAAACTAAGACAATGCATAAATGAAGGAGGATTCACAGTGGAAGTGACTTTGACAAGGTCACTTAGGATAGGCGAAGGGTTTGCTTCTGTGCCTATAAGCCCAGGTCCAGAAACTAGCAATCCACATCTAGGAGGTGAACTTGCTTCAGCTCCTGTTATAACTGGGTGTAGCTATCTTACTTTTTGGTCTTTGAATATTGATTCAAATTAATTAAGTAAAACTGAAAACAAAACAGATGTATGGCTTGTATATATAACTCACTCAAAAAGTCAACCTTATTTTAGTCCAAGTGAAATTTTTTTTACAGTTTTCAGAATGATTCCTACTTCTATTGCTGGGGGAATAAAACATTGCACATTGGAACCATGACCCTGATTCCTGTTTTCTCAGGTTTGTCGTACACGGCTTAACAACTGGAGAACAATATATCTTCCGAGTTAAAGCTGTTAATGCTGTTGGGATGAGTGAAAATTCACAAGAGTCTGACATCATAAAAGTCCAGGCTGCCCTCAGTAAGTAATTCATAGGCTATTCAGCTCCAATTTTTAGGTCTCCAGTGCATTTTAATTTCTGCATGAATAAACACTTTGATGCCATTTGGAGTATTACCAGAGGAAAAAAGTGGATGTAAATCGTTGAAAAGAGAACACGCAATTCTGTTGGAACCTCTCGTCAGCTGGAAATACCAGTGTAAGAAGGGAGAGTTGATAATATGCTAATAAAATGCAAATTAAAAATAGAAAACCGTATTAGAGGTCACATTTGTTTCCAAACACCTGTACCCACATTAAAATACATGTTATAGGGTATGAAGTTCTCTTTTGAAAATGTGTGCTAAAGTAGAACAACATCAATGGCCTTTTAAGCTATGCTTAATTTAAGAAAGAGCCCAGGTGGCATAGTAGTTAAGAGCTTAGCTGATAACCAAAGGGTAGGCAGTTCCAATCCACCATCCGCTCCTTGGAAACCTTATGGGGCAGTTCTGTTCTGTCCTGTAGGGTCAATATAAGTCAGAATCGACTTGATGGCAACGTGTAGTTCAAGAAACATCAATAAATTATTTCTGAGAATTTAAAATGTGTGTATAACTTGTGGCTTTGTTCATAAATAGTAATCTTTTGAAATTGCCATTAATTAGATCGAACTGAAAAATTCAGGTCCTAAATCTCAGTGACAGCCCATAGAAAAGTTGATCAATAAAGCTCTATGTTTTATAATTGTTACTCTTGTTCTTTGGTATTAAACACAGCACATTGCTTAAACAAATTCAGGAACACTAATGTCACACATTACCCATTTTGAAACACACTAATATAATTTCACTTCTAAGAGAAACCTTTAAATTTTTTTTTTTTGGTCTCCAACTAAATGTACACACATTTTCAGAAATTAAGATTTCTAATCATTGTTATCAGAATTGCCAAAGAATGTGAAATCTGATAGTAAGTGGGTATAATAACCAAAAAGCAATTACATTTTTGTTTTAAGGTCATTATTCAAATCTCCTCTCAATTTTTCTCAGAAGGGACTTTCAAATATTCCCATTTACCTTTTAAAGTCATTCCGACTAGATAAATGTCAATCATTTCAATTTTTATTGCATAATAAAAATAGCTTATTTCCAGCTCACATTTATCTCAAGTAACAGAGGAAGACCTTATTTAGGTTACTCAGAGTCAGGGGAAAAGTAAAGACACATATTTTCTCAACCTGTTAGGGAAAGATTGCTTATTTTCAAGTACGGTGCTTAAAAAAGGGAACTATGAGCTCATACTCATTTAAATTAATTTGAAGTTTCTATAAATTATGTAGGAAATATTAACACTTAAACTAGCCTAAATAATATTCGTCATCATTGACCCTCAGATACATGGTAGTTATACTCCACAGTTGTAAAAGAGAAAGCACCCTTCTCAAAGTTTTCTCTAAGGGGGAGATTTTTTGTTGTTTCAAATGGCCAGACCAGATTTATATAAATCTTTGCCCTCATAGGATTGGATTATTGGAAGGATGTATTTAGAAATAGAAAAAAAAAATTGTTTTTAAACTTATTCTCCATAAAAGAGAAGTTAAAAACAAAGATGGTACGAAGGTAGGTCAAGAAAGAGATAGAAGGCTTTGCAAGTATTCAAGCCATTTCCCAGATGACTCTCTAAAGGCTGGAGTTGATTCTGTTGTGGGATAAAGAATGTTGGATGAGATTCCGGGTAACTTGCTTGCTTTCATTTGTAGCTGTTCCATCTCATCCTTACGGAATCACACTGCTGAGCTGTGATGGCTGTTCTATGACCCTCGGTTGGAAGGTGCCTAAATTCAGCGGTGGTTCACCCATCCTTGGTTATTACATAGACAAGCGTGAAGCACATCATCAAAACTGGCACGAGGTCAATTCTTCGCCTGTGAAAGAGAGGATCTTGACGGTTGGTTTCTATTTGCCTATTTTTATTTATTTGTTTTTACCTATGTGCTTTTACGTTCCGAGGACAGTGTTTCAGTGATGCAGAAACAAAAATAGATTTTTAAAAAATTGTGATGTCACGGGGTCATACAGTTTTAGAACTGAAAAGATTTTATGAACCATTTTTTAATCTTCTTCTGAGAAGAGATGAAGAAGCAGAGAGCCAAGTGACCTGAAGAGGTTTAA